ACAGTAATCGAGGTGAATTTGTGCATTATACTGTGTCAAATAAAGCAAGCCAGGCAGCCTTCCGTGTTTGAGGACGCGCTGTTTTTTAATTGCCCACAAGAGGGCTGCAGTGCAGCAATAACCAGCCTAGTTCAAATGAACGAAATGACTCAAAAAAAGATTAGTTCATTTTGATGAACGAGATTTGAATGAACTAGTCTGACAAGACTCGAACTTGCCATCACTACTGTGAGCGGGCGGCTGGCGGGTCGGCACAGGCTTCGCCCGCCGCCACTTGCGGAGCTCCTCAACTCCAAAAATATTCAAGCACATTTTTGTTCCGCCATTACTTCTTGTAAAACTGTCAATATTTGAAATCTACACAGCCGATTTCTCACTTCAAAACTTCTCAGAAGTGCATTTAGTGATGAAATTCCATACGAAAACTGTAAAATATAAAACGTTCTGTTGCTGGCCTCTGTCTGGTGATGCAGTGAATAGTGACGATTCTCTCTGACCAATCAAAGAAAAGTTATATAACTCAATAAAGGAGAGGGGAAAAGCCAAAAAGCATAATACCACCTAGATGGAAGACCTGCTAGGAGGGCACTGCAGTAGTCGAGGCAAGAGATAACCATGGCCTGTACCAGAAGCTGGGTGGCGTACTGAAAAAGGTATGGCCTGATTTTTCTTATGTTGTGTAGAGCAAAGCGGCACGACTGAGAGACAGCAGCAACATGGTCTGAAAAGAACAACAAAAGTTTCTTACCACCCTGGTTGGAGTGATGGTTGATTAGTCAATTTGTAGTTTGATGTTATGGTGGATAGATTGCTTGGCTGGAATGACCAAGAGATCATTCTTAAGCTATGTTCACACTGCAGGACTTGGATGCTCCATTCCAATTTTTTTCCAAGATCATTTCTTTGTTTGACAGTTCACATTAATGTTTAAATGTGGGCCATATCAGACTCCCAGTGTGAACTGTCCACGGCCTGAAGGTGACCCACATGCACAGAAGAATAACATGACTTCACACGCAGCACGCTGTGGTACAGAAGTAAACAAGGAGCAACAGAGGTTAGCCCCGGTAGCTCATACTTGCTAACTCTCCCAATTTTAACAGGAGACTGCCATTTTTCATTGTCCTCTCACGAGCCACATTTCTCCTGAATTATCACAACTGTTCCAAACTTTCTGTTCTTTTCATTACAGTTTCTGGTGTTGGACAACGCAACTGCCCCACAACTCCCTCCCTCCCTCCCTTTCTCTCTCTCTCTCTCTCTCTCCACTGTGTCTGCACAGACAAGTAGCATCCATGTAATTTAGAAGAGAGCTCATGGATTTCAGGTGGAAGAAAGGGAATTTGTGAGCAGATGACGACAAGGTACAGAAGGACAGCATTATGTTTAATAATGGCATTTGTGGAGCTTTTTCGTTCACCACGGCTCCGTCTACAGCAGAACTATGACAACAGCTGCTCTAGAGAGACGTCAAATTCACATCAATTCCGACCTGACTCGCATTTAAAAAGACATATGGAAGTGGCCCAAATCCAAACTCGAAACGATCACGACTCCATGTGACTTGGCCTGTTCACACTGTTATAAAAAGGTCATATCTGAGTCACATATGAGCAAATCTGAATGATCTGGTATCCATTGGTGATGTGTTTTACACCAATGCATCCGATGCTTTGCATTGCACTTGTAATGTAAGGCTTGGATGCAGCTGCTTGGCCATGGAAACCCATTCCATTAAGCTCTCTATGCACTGTTCTTGAGCTAATTCAAAGACCGCCCAACATTTGGAGGTCTGTAGCTATTGACTGCAGAAAGTTAGCGACTTCTGCGCACTTTGCACCTCACCATGTGGCCTTTATGTGGAGTTTCTGTTGTTCCTAATCACTTCCACTTTGTTATAATACCACTAACAGTTGACCATGGAATATTTAGTAGTGAGGAAATTTCCCGAATGGACTTATTGCAGAGGTGGCAACCTATCTTGTACCACATAGTCTGCTTCTACAAACATTTGTGAAAGAATTCGTCATTCTCAGGAGCTCAGTCTGCATGGCTAGGTGTTTGATTTTACATTAGGAGTTTTGGACAGGGGGACAACAATTTCCACATTGGGCACCTCATCCACACCCACTCCAGCACCACCTCCACCCACCGACCCCTCTAATACAAACAGACAATTTCAATGTAACTGTGGGCCATTAAACCTTAAAGTGGCACAGATGGAGTCCCTTACAACCATTTCCAAATTCAGTGTTTTAGTCTCATCCAGGCCATGCCCGCATATATATTCAACTATTCAATATGATTATAAAGCACAAAAGGTCAACACAGTTTTATTTATTTTTTAATCTCTCAAATTATACTGTGACATTTATCTTTCTCATTCGAACTTAAAGCAAGACAAGGAGAGAAAAATGCCTTTCAATGACTGGGTGATCAGAGAAAATTAAAATCAAACATTGAAGAAATTCAAATTATGAGTGAACTAATAAATGTAATTCATCTATCAAATTCAGCCTTGAGGACTAATCAAAGTAGTGGTCAAATTGTGTGCAGAACTTAAAAACTGTATTGAGGCTGTACAGAGGCTTACCACATGTATAGCTTGTTACATTGTAATCAGATTTGCAGCTGTATCCTATGACTTGTGATGTGCTGCTGACCAGTGTTTACTGTAGGTCAATTTCCTTGAGGTTGCTACAGGAGAACTTGTGGGTGTTATTAATCTTTATTGATATGAAGGGAGACAAAATTTAGGAGGCGGGTGACGATTCAAAGTGTATGTATATATATATACACTCACCTAAAGGATTATTAGGAACACCATACTAATACTGTGTTTGACCCCCTTTGGCCTTCAGAACTGCCTTAATTCTACGTGGCATTGATTCAACAAGGTGCTGAAAGCATTCTTTAGAAATGTTGGCCCATATTGATAGGATAGCATCTTGCAGTTGATGGAGATTTGTGGGATGCACATCCAGGGCACGAAGCTCCCGTTCCACCACATCCCAAAGATGCTCTATTGGGTTGAGATCTGGTGACTGTGGGGGCCATTTTAGTACAGTGAACTCATTGTCATGTTCAAGAAACCAATTTGAAATGATTGGAGCTTTGTGACATGGTGCATTATCCTGCTGGAAGTAGCCATCAGAGGATGGGTACATGGTGGCCATAAAGGGATGGACATGGTCAGAAACAATGCTCAGGTAGGCCGTGGCATTTAAACCATGCCCAATTGGCACTAAGGGGCCTAAAGTGTGCCAAGAAAACATCCCCCACACCATTACACCACCACCAGCCTGCACAGTGGTAACAAGGCATGATGGATCCATGTTCTCATTCTGTTTACGCCAAATTCTGACTCTACCATCTGAATGTCTCAACAGAAATCGAGACTCATCAGACCAGGCAACATTTTTCCAGTCTTCAACTGTCCAATTTTGGTGAGCTCTTGCAAATTGTAGCCTCTTTTTCCTATTTGTAGTGGAGATGAGTGGTACCCGGTGGGGTCTTCTGCTGTTGTAGCCCATCCACCTCAAGGTTGTGCGTGTTGTGGCTTCACAAATGCTTTGCCGCATACCTCGGTTGTAACGAGTGGTTATTTCAGTCAAAGTTGCTCTTCTATCAGCTTGAATCAGTCGGCCCATTCTCCTCTGACCTCTAGCATCAACGAGGCATTTTCGCCCACAGGACTGCCGCATACTGGATGTTTTTCCCTTTTCACACCATTCTTTGTAAACCCTAGAAATGGTTGTGCGTGAAAATCCCAGTAACTGAGCAGATTGTGAAATACTCAGACCGGCCCGTCTGGCACCAACAACCATGCCACGCTCAAAATTGGTTAAATCACCTTTCTTTCCCATTCTGACATTCAGTTTGGAGTTCAGGAGATTTTCTTGACCAGGACCACACCCCTAAATGCATTGAAGCAACTGCCATGTGATTGGTTGATTAGATAATTGCATTAATGAGAAATTGAACAGGTGTTTCTAATAATCCTTTAGGTGAGTGTAGTGTGTATAACACTATGATGACCTCAACTGGCTTAACATGGAATGCTGATAAGATTAATGTATTGGTTATGCTCAGCATCCTTTGCGATCATCATGGCCAATGTTGTTGAATGTTGAAGAATGTTTTTGAATTTCGGAGGCAGGACATTTATAGGCAGGACTTTGGTGACTAATGTGTAGGAAACATGCCATCGGTGTTGCTGTTTACATTCCGCCAACAACCAGACATCGGCATGTAACGCCATCCGCAACCCTGTTGCTGAACTCCAGACTCAACAACCAAATGTTATTATTATTTTTATTGTTTTTTTGTTTGTGTTTGTTTGTTGTTGTTGTTTTTCTCCTCCCCAAGCCCCCCTTTCTGTTCTATTGCAGGTTTCGTTGCTTTCTGCAATTGGTGTTTCCCACAGCTTTTCCCTGTTGTCCCCACCTTCCATCCCCCTTCTCTTACAGGTGTTGTCCTTTCTCTGTGCTGTCTGTTTGTGCCCACCCATCCCCGTGTCTGCCCCCCTGTCCGGCCCGGTGACAAATCAATACATAAATAAATAAATAATAAAACAGACAAAGGAGTATTTTAATACTCTCTTGTTAAAGTAAAATCTGTCTGGCACAACATGGTATCCAGGTCATCATACCCTATACCAGGCTGCTGGGCAGGACAGGTTTAAAAAAAACAAAAAAAAACGAATTATCCCTAAAACGTTGACTTTAAGTATTTTACATATACATTTTCCATCTAATTTTATTATATAAGTTCAATGTAAAAGGTGACATGTAATGCAATGTTTTTCTATCACGTTTAGTCAGTTTGAATAAATGACATAACTTTGTCAGATTTGATTAAATTAAATTAATGTAAACCTATAAATAAGCATTATGTGTTTATTCAATTACTACATATGAAGTTTAAGGGAATTTCTACATAAACCTTACGTGTTTATTGAAGTACTAAATATAAAGTTTAGGGAAACTTACAAGAACACATACAAGAACTAAAAATTTTATTGACAGATTGCAAAAAAATCGTCTAATGGCAAAGTGCACAACGTTTTCCAGTAAACCTGACGGTACTATACAGGCTAAAGAAATAAAAAAAAATAAAGGTTTTCCACCAGAATGAGTATTTCTACTGTATTCAGTAACTTAAAATGAATTTTAAAATAATCTTTTAAAAAATTGTTTGCCATTCAAAGAGCCTTTTTTTTCAATACAATACTCAAAGCGTTTAAAATGTCAGTATCCAATATCAGTTTGAACAATTCCAACATCAACATTTACATCAAAACAAAAAATTCCCCAAGCACAGCAACAACAATGAGGTGCTGGTAGAAACCTGGATAAGTCTATGAAAAATCAAAAAACAAACTACCGCACACTGATCTGACTTACTAATTTATTTATATTTTCACAAATAAAGTAGCAAGTCAGATCAGTGTACGGTAGTTTGTTTTTTGATTTATCAAGAGTTACATGTTATTACATTTTTTGGATGGTCATCTTGACCTAACTGCTGACTGACTGACGGCGTGATGCACAGGCCCTCAATCTTCCAGAAGGGGGCAAGCCAAGCTCAACTATCCAGCACTGGTCTTGTGAGCTCACTGACGCATCTTAATCTCTAATGTTTGCACCTTTGGGGGACAGTTTGTTGCCATTCAAGTTCATCAAAACCTTCTGGAAGATAGTTCAGGTTGAGTGTGTAGATCAGGCCAAAAAGCATGGCACAACCAAAGGAAATACATCCTAGCCTTCGACCACCACTCCAACATCCGCTGGCTTGTCCTCTTCATAAGCACCTTCTCTGCAAATCACATAGAGCCCCATGGTGGTCTGTGCGATCTCTCTCTTAGCTTCCTCACTGTTGACATCCTAATGGTGAAACATAAATTGACAATTTTGAAATAAAGATAAGATTGCATTTTTAATACTAAGAGCTCACATTAAATGTTGATACTGACCAAGTACTCCTTGATGAGTGTGCTGCTGTCCTCATTGAGGTAAACACACAGGCTTCTGACAACACAGCCCCTCTTCATCTCAATGTCTTCACTCTGAAAAATAAATCATACATAGCATCTCTGAACTTTTAGCCCTGTTGTTGTCCAATCAAAACTGTGCTACAAGTGTTGTGAAGAAAATACAATATCCCTAGGCTTTGAATTTTAAGGCCTGGGGTCTGAAAACAACAGTCAGGTAGGGCTGGACAATATGGCCAAAAAAGTTATCACAATAAAAAGTTTCATATCTTTCAATATCGATAAATATCACAATAAGTATCAAATCTCCTGAGTGAAATTTGAAGGAACCTGATGGTTAATTGTGGTTTAAACTCTTCTTTATGGTCAACACCTGATGCCTAACATAATAACTTAACAATCTGAGGTAGAACATTCAAAACAATTATGACAAAATCGTTGTCAACAAATATGCAAGAGTACATTTAAGTAAAAGCTGTTTACAGTCCTTTTTCCTCAAAAAATACATCTTAATAAAAAAAATTAAGTCCTAATTCGTGCATGATTCAAGTGAATAAAATTAATTTTTTTTTTGAATATTTGTTATACTGTTATTGAAAAAAATAATATCGTGATAATTATTGTTATTGTTTTATTGTCCTGTCCTACAGTCAGGATGCCACACTAATGACCAGATGAAACTAAGCAACAGTTACTTACAAAAGCTAAAGGGTTCTTTTGATAAACCTGCAATTATTACCTCCCACAAATTCTATTAAATGGAAATTACATGCACTTGCCTTAGCTGTAGGAGCCATGAGGAATTGAATCTTCCTTCCAGCAGCTCCTCCTCTACTGCTGAAGACCTTGATTAATTGGCTGCGTATTTGTCAAGCTGTGCCAGGAACTTGGCATGAAGTGGTAAAGTTGTTAGACGCATGAATTCTGCATTTATCTATGACAGAAACGGTGAAAGAAAAGAGATGTACATGAGGAATTATTTTCTGAGTTACAAAAAACAAAACAAAAGAACAAGTCACATTTGGACACTTTGGACTATAAAAAGCCAATAATGTCTTCATATTGTCATATAATTGTCTATAATTTCAGCCAATAATATCAGATAATATAAAATGGGCTGAGAATTAGTGCTGGGCAATAAATATATAAGTAAAGGTTTCTACTGTAAATATGCTCAACTATTAAAGCTGGGTTTATTTATTCACAATGTTAATTAATAAGGTAATGTTGTTGTGCACATTACAGAGACATGGTTTCCCTATATTCGAGGCATTGCCGCTGCTGAATTATGACCACTGCTATTAAAATTTCACTCAATTATTTAATATTAATGCGGAACAAATGATTTGCTAGCTTCCTTTCCTCATTAATCTAAGGACATCTACGTGACAGGTGGTGTTTTCAGAGCAGCGGAGTTAGGTCTTTTAACTGCAGGGCATGTATTTGCGTAGCGATTGAATGGCAAGCGAATGAGAGAGAGCAAACGGCATAAAGTGACGCTGTCAGTGAAGCTAACGTTACTCCTGTGCATACAATTTACGCTAGGTACGAATGTTTTACAGGCTAACGTTAGCAAAGCATTGCACACACACTTTCATTTACCAAAAAATGTCTTTGTAAAACATAAAACACATTTAAATCGACGTACTTCTAAAATGACACATTGCTGCTACACAGTAAAACAACAGATGAAAAACGATTGGACTTACCTTATAAAACTTTCACGTCCACGTCCATGTTCCATGTTGTCCCGCTCACTCAAAAGAATACAGAGCAAAGCAGACTATGCGCATGTGCAACAGTAGGACATGCGCGCAGCCTGCTTTTGGAGCTAGTAAAGTTTATTCGATTTGTTTACTTTAAGTTTATATTGAGCATATTTATGCTGTGTTTAATTATTTTTAATAAATTACATTTTACTTAAAAGTATTGCTTTTTGTTTATGATAGCCAAGAATCATTTTTTTGAGTTTAGCATGTGGTGAAACTTGTGTAAATAATTCACATGGTGTTGAATGTGTTTGCTTTGTGAGGATGATGTGGGGGCAGCTGCTGTAAACTACCTGTGTAAACTTGACAATAATAAGCTCTGTGGCAGCTCTGCAGGTGCAACTCTCCAAAACACTCTGGTCTCCAGTTAACAGATGAACTCGGAACAGTTTTATCAGCTTCAATTACCACAAAATTCACCTCACCTCTTAAAAATATGAACATAATAACAACAAATTGCTGGGAGACCACAAGGCAATATACAAAGATGTAGCCAAAACACTTGTTCCCAATTGCAAAATAATGAGCGGGAAGTAACTGTGCTGCTGTGAGTTATAGAAAAATCAGTGTAGCTCTCTCTGCATGCCTCTTGGAAGTTGCTGCCAAACATATCTCCAAGACCACAGCTATTACCTCTGTTCAGTGGCATGCAATTTATATGGCGCTCCCCAGGGAAATTAACTTTGTGGCGACAACTCACAAGATCAACAATTCTGAGAGGAATTCAGGCCATTCCTCTACAGAAAGGAATAGCATAATTACAGGCCGTGAACTTCAGCACAGTCCCTCTCCTGCAGAGGAATTCCTCCCTCTCTGGACTATTTATATCATTTTGTTTGTAGGATTGCTTTTTCCTCATAAGAAATGTAGTCGAACATTTTCAGAATGAAAAATTTGACGTTAAAACTCAAAGATTTTCAAGATAACTTAAACTGAAATGTTTACTAGCTTTTGAAAGACTTTTAAAGCATTCATTGTCAACGTTCCCTGTTCCCTGTCACGATGATGCTGTGCAGGGCTTTTGGCATCACAGGGGAGAGAACTGTGTACACGCCATTATGAGACTGAGGCAACGATTATGCCCAGTCGGTGCCGAGAGCCAAATGCATACCAATGGGCTGTGGAAATATACTGATATTCAGAGGGGGTCAGCCAGAAGATGAGCAGTGAGCAGCCTGGCCCCTCAGTCTCTCATTCCAAACCGCATCCTGTTGCATAATGAAGAGAAGCTTCTAACCAAGCTGTTACAGCTGCAAGTTCATCTACAAGTGTTCATATGTAACTTACATAATTTCAAATGAAAAAGGTAAAACTTAAAAAAAAAGGTTAATTTAGCTATTGTGTCCTTCTCATCTCATGAATATTTATGAACATATTACTCTTGCGCCTAATAAACACCAATCAGTTGATTTCTCCGTGCTAAAAGCTCTATACTGTGATATCACGACCAGGGCTGTATTCACCTGCCTAGGGGCAAAATTTTAGCTGTGTATTGATAAACCCCCACCTGTGATTCTTCCACTCTCTGTGCAACAGTTATAGATTTTTATACAAACTTACAGGTTCCAATTTTGAGGTCTGTATCAACCCATCCTTGCACTTTAGTTTCTGCAATTGGATGCTCATCCTCAAGGACCAGATGTCAGTTTTGAAAGTTGAAAGTGAATTGTGAGAACTGAATGTGAAAGTATATAGAGACTAAAATTTTCAGTGAGGATCAAATACAGTATCAGAGCAACTGAATTCAATTTCATTATATTATGTAGCAGACCTAAATTTTAGTCATGCAATTTAATAAATTTATGAGAATTGATACCCAATTATGAATTTTTAAGATTCATAAAATCAAAATTTATTCCTCGTTAAGGGCACCACCGGAGTTGTTATAATCCTAGAGTCTCCGGACCTCTAGGTAGTTTGGAATAATTATACAATTATTACTAGTGATCAGTTAGTTAATAATCGCTCAATTATCTTAAGTCAGTCAGTCAGTCTCATATCTAAAGGGTCAATTCTCTTGGCAGGAACTAGAAATAGGCAACACACACAGCTCTTGATTATATTACAGTGAATTTATTCTCTAACTAAGGTGATAAAAAAGATGGTTGGATACAGGGAAAATAAACAATTGCTGAACAATGAGCCTGGAGGTTCGATTGTGGGAAGCATTTGACTCATACGGCATAGAAGAGCTAATGAAAGTAAACTAATGCTATAATTTAGGAGTTAAAATGGACATCTGATCACAGAACGTGTGTTAAGTCTTACTGCTTGTCGACAGTCTGCTTTTGGCCTGTTGCACGGGTCCCACGCTAGCTGCCTGGCTGATCTTGGCTTTTTGCTAGGGATTCTCCAGGGTTTTCCGTGTCTGATTGAAAACGCCTCCTCCATCTGGCAATTCGGCTGTTTGCAGGTTTCCTTTGTTGCAGTTGGCGAGACCACGTGGCTTGGTCTGACCTCGGTGAAGTTGGCTCGACGAAAAAGGCTTAAAATGGAACTTGGTCGTTCCTGAATTAGTCCAGTGTAACTTAACGAACTGATAACTTTAACAAACAAAAGAAATAAAGAAAATAAAACAAACTGAAGGCAGATCGATGTCGCGGCACTTCAGGTGTGTAGCTTCAGAAAAAGGCCTGTTTGTTTCGCTGGCCGAGTCTGAGGGCGTTGCCTGGCGAGGCACGCCACGCGCATGCCGAAGCGTCCAGAGGGCAGAGCAGAGTGGAAGAGCCAACAGCGAAGAGAAGAGCGAGGTCACGTGTTGCTCTTTTGTTGCCTGGGGCGTGGTTTCCCAAGGGACTGCCTTTCTAAACTTAATGTCTAAAGAAAAGAAATCTATTTGCACGTATTATAATCAAACATTTTCCACAATCGAACCTCAGTGGTTGAACAGTTGTACCGTTCTCGGCATTTGGTAACAGGAAACAATTGTCACATTATTGGTCAGGATATTTATACATTTAAAGGCATTTCCGACGAGGGCATGTAATACTTATTTCATCCACTTGGGGGAGCTCAGGTTACATGAGGAAAGCTTGGATTACATTAGATGAAGGAGTGTCTTGCTGAAAATAAAAACACTGCACAAGTAACTTTCTTTTCAGCACTAATATCAACAACAGATAGCAACAACAGTTAACATAACTACTCAAATAGAGGCAAACGTAATCAGGTAACTAAAGATTTAATTAAATGCTTTGAGTCTTTGGAGACTGCAGTCCTTTTACATTGAAAGTTCGGTGTCTGGACCATGTCACACTTGGGTGAGACAGGGGTTTTCCTTTTTGATGTGGTAATAAACAAAG